CCATGCGCCCGGTGCTGCCCGTGCTGCAGGAAGTGCTGCAGGAGATCGTCAACGAGCGCAATGCGGACGTTCTGATTGACCGCTCCGCGATCGTGTACGCTCGCGACTCCGTGGACATCACCCAGTCCGCCATCGAGCGCCTGAACCAGCGCATCACCACCACGCCGGTGAACCGCGTTCGCGTGCCGACCCAGCAAGCTCAGCAACAGCAGCAATAAGGTTGGTCTGACATGGGGGCCGACCCGCGATTTTTTGAGCGGCTCGGTCCGCTCAAGGCTTCCGACATCGCCGCGCTTATCGGATCTGATCTGATAGGCGACGGCGATGTCGCTGTTTCTGACGTGTCCACGCCGGACTCCGCCGGAGAGGGCGATCTCATCTTCCTGGCGGGCAAGGCGCCGCCGGAAACACCGCCCATGGCCGGAGTGGCGATCGTGCCGGACGCCAGCTGGGCGGAGGCGCTGCCCCATTGTCAGGCTGTCCTTGTGCACCGGGTGACCCGCGCTGGATTCGCCAAGGCCGCAGCCCGCCTTCTGGCGCCCCGGTTTCATGACGGCCCGGACTTCATCCATCCGACAGCGACCATCGCAAACAGCGCGCGTCTCGCGCCCGGCGTCATCGTCGGTCCCGATGCGGTGATCGGCGAGAACGCCCGCATCGAGGCCGGCGCCATCATCGGTCCGGGCGTGGTCATCGGAGATCACGCCCGAATTGGCGTGCGCGCGAATGTCCAGTGCGCCCTGGTCGGCGCGCGCTGCGAGATTTCCGCCGGGGCGGTTGTGGGCGAAGCGGGCTTTGGTCTGGCCTATGAGAATGGCGAGGTCTTCACCTTGCCGCATCTCGGTCGCGTGATCATCGAGGATGAGGCGACGCTCGGCGCGAATGCGACCGTGGATCGCGGCATGCTCAAGGACACCCGCATCGGCAAGGGCGCGCGCATCGATAATCTGTGCCATATCGCGCATAATGTGGATGTGGGCGAGTATGCTGTCATGGCTGCTTTCGCCGGCATTTCAGGCAGCACGGTCATTGGCGCCGGCGCCCAGTTTGGCGGTCGGGTCGGCGTGGCGGACCACCTGAAGATCGGGCAGGGCGCCCGCCTTGCGGCGGACGCGGCCGTCATGAAGGACGTGCCCGCAGGTGAGACCTGGGCGGGTTCGCCGGCCCAGCCGATTCAGAGTTTCATGCGCGAAACGGCCTGGCTGCGCCGCGCAGTGAGCCGCAAATCCAAACCCGAGCGCAAAAAGGAAGACTGATGAGTGATCTTGAGACCGCGATCGGGCCCGACGAAATCCTGCGCCGCTTGCCGCACCGCTATCCCTTTCTGCTGGTGGACCGCGCTGAGCGCTATGTGCCAGGCGAGTCCATTGTCGGTTTCAAATGCGTGTCTGCCGCCGAGCCGCATTTTCAGGGGCATTTTCCTGAAAACCCGGTGATGCCGGGCGTCCTGATCATCGAGGCGATGGCCCAGACCGGCGCGATCCTGATGTCCAAGACGCTTGATGCGGATATTTCCAATACGCTGATCTATTTCATGGGTGTGGAGCAGGCGAAGTTCCGGCGCCCCGTGCGCCCTGGCGACGTGCTTGAAATGCCGGTCGAAGTCACCGCCAATCGCCGCGGCGTTTTCAAGTTCAAGGGCGAGGCGCGCGTGAATGGCGTGAGATGCGCGGACGCGACCTTCTCGGCCACGTCTGCGCCGCGCGAAGCCTGACGGAGTTCACATGACCACCAGTATTCACCCGACCGCCATCGTGGACGAGAGCGCCCGCCTGGGCGAAGGCGTCGAGATCGGTCCGTATTGCGTTGTCGGTCCGAACGTTCAGATCGGAGACCGCACGCGACTGCATTCCCATGTCAGCCTGAACGGCAATCTGGAAGTTGGCGCGGATTGCAAGATCCACCCCTTTGTCGCACTTGGCGAGCCGCCCCAGGACTTCAAGTTCAAGGGCGGCGATGTGCGTCTGATCATCGGTGACAACAACACCCTGCGCGAGCACGTGACCATGCATATGGGCACGGAAGGCGCGAAGGGGATCACCAAGGTCGGTTCAAACAACTTCTTCATGGTCGGCGCGCACGTCGCCCATGACTGCACCGTCGGCAACCATGTTGTGTTCGCCAACAACGCCACGCTGGGCGGGGATTCCTCGGTCGCCGACTATGTGATCATGGGCGGCCTCTCGGCGCTGCACCAGCAGTGCCGGATCGGCAAATACGCCTTCATCGGCGGCGGAGCGCCGGTGACAGGCGATGTCATCCCCTATGGCATGGTGGACAATCTGGGCGCGCTGGCCGGGCTGAACCTTGTGGGTCTCAAGCGCCGCGGCTTCTCGCGGGACGCCATCCACGATCTGCGCGCCGCCTATCGTCTGGTCTTCGCCAATGAAGGCGCGTTCCACGAACGGGTCGAGGATGCGGCGCGACTGTTCGAGAACCGGCCGGAAGTCATGGACATCGTCGAGTTCATCCGCACGCCGGCCAAGCGCCCGCTCTGCTCGCCGGAAGGGCGCTAGGTGTGGCGGTCTACCAGCGTCTCGGGCTGATCGCCGGGGGCGGGGATCTGCCCGTCTACGTGGCGCGTGCGGCGCAGACAGGCGATCGACTGGCCTGCGTGATCGCTCTCAAGGGGTTCGCCGATCCCACGCGCTATGACAGCCCGGTCATTCGCGGCATCGCCCAGCTGGGACAGGTGGTGAAGGATCTGCGTCAGGCCGATTGCGACGCCGTCTGCTTTGCCGGCATTGTGACGCGGCCGGATTTCTCGGCGCTGAAACCCGATCTCAAGGGCATGGCCTTCCTGCCTCAGGCGCTGGCAGCAGCGGCGCGTGGCGATGACGCTCTGTTGAGGGTGATCGTGGGCTTCTTTGAAAAAGAGGGTTTCACGGTGATTGGCGCCAATGACATCGCAGACGAGCTTCTGGTGGAGCCCGGGCTGATCGGCTCGATCAGACCTGACGCCATTGCCGAGGCTGATGCCAAGAAGGCGTTGCATGTCGCGGGCGTTACGGGCGCTGAGGATATCGGGCAAGGGGCCGTGGTCTGCAAGGGGCTGGTGCTGGCCGTTGAGGCGCAGGAAGGCACCGATCAGATGCTGGCCCGGGTCGCACGCCTGCCGGCCGAATTGCGGGGCGATGAGCTCAACCGCTCGGGAGTACTCGCCAAGCGACCCAAGCCGGGTCAGGAGCGCCGCATTGATCTGCCGGTCATCGGCGTGTCGACCGTGCAGGGCGCGGCCAGGGCCGGGCTGGCCGGCATCGTGATCCCGGCGGGCGGCGCAATGGTGCTGGGCCGCGCAGCGGTCGGTCAGGCGGCTGACGCGGCGGGCCTGGCGGTATGGGCTGTAGAGATGGATGGGCCAGCGGATGACGCAAACGCCTGAAACCCCATCAGATCTGGCGAGAGCACCGCGGATCTTCCTCGTCGCTGCAGAGCCATCCGGTGATGCGCTCGCGGGCGATCTCATGGACGCGCTGCGCGCGCTTCGACCGGATGTGGAAATCGCAGGAGTCGGAGGCCCGGAAATGGCCAGACGCGGCGCACTCTCGCCCTTTGATATTTCAGAGCTTTCGGTCTTTGGCCTGTTTGATGGGCTGAAGATCATCAACCTCGTTCATCAACGCGCGCAGGAAACCGCAGACGCCGCAAAAGCCTTTAAGGCCGACGCCGTCATTCTCATCGATTCCTGGGGGTTCATGCTACGCGCGGCCTGGAAACTGCGTGAGGTCCTGCCTGACACGCCGCTGATCAAGTACGTCGCGCCGCAGGTCTTCGCCGCCCGACGGGAGCGCGCCAAGGTGGCGGCTGACACCTTTGATCATTTGCTGGCGATCCATCCCTTTGACGCGCCCTATTTCACCGAGCACGGCATGGATGTGACCTTTGTGGGCAATCCGGCGCTGGAGCGCGATCTCAGCGGTGACGGGCCCGCCTTCCGGGCGCGCCATGGGGTTGCAGAGACGGATCCGCTTCTTCTCATTCTCTTTGGCAGCCGCAAGTCCGAGCTCACGCGTCTGTTCCCGCGCTTCGCCGACGCGGTGAAACGACTGAAAGCCGACCGCCCGGGCCTGAAATTCGTCACCCCGCTCGCATCCTCCATCGCGGCTCAGGCGCAGGAGATGATTGCAGCGGAGACGGCCTTTGCGGATCTGATCGTGGTCGAGAGTGATGAGCGGCGAGACGCCTTCCATGCCGCCGATGCGGCGCTGGCCTGCTCGGGCACCGTAACGCTGGAACTGGCGAGGTTGGGCGTGCCGACCGTGGCGGCCTACCGGCTGGGCTGGCTCGCCTGGGCGGCGGCGCGGTTCTTCCTGATGAAATCGAAATACATTTCGCTCGCCAATATTGCGGCGGATGAAATGCTGATCCCCGAACATGTCCAGACCCGGTGCCGCGGGGACGTGCTGGCGCAAAGCGTCGGCGAGTTGCTGGATGACGCTGGACGCCGGGCCGATGTGTCCAAACGGTTGCGTGAGGTCACCGAGCACATGCGCGGCGCTGGCGGCTCGCCTTCGGCCAACGCCGCTCAAGCGATACTGGGCCTCGTAACTTCCTGACTTGTTTGCCCAACTCCCATGACAGAAGCAATGCATTGCATAACGTAGCATATATGCTACGTTATGCTTTGTATTAAGGAGGAAGTCATGTCAGTACGCGGTCCCTTGCACGCCTTTCATATCGCTGATGCGGATGATGATCCGCAAAAGGCGAAGAACTGGGCGTCAGTGTCCAAGCGCCGGACGCTGGTCATTTGCATCATGGTGTTGATGGGGGTGATCGCGCTTGCGCTTGGCGTGGTGCTCGACGGCGTCGCCGGAGTGCTGACAGAGGGTGAGGGCCTGACGACCTCTGTCACCACCCTGTCGCCGCTATTGTTCGTCTTCGTGTTTCTCGCGATGCGGCTTGATCGCAACCTGTTTCTGGCGAGCCGCCCGGCCTTTTCCTTGCCCGGTGAACCCCATGACGAACGTCAGCAGGCTTTGGTGAGCATGGCCACGCGACGGGGCTTGAAGCTGGCCCTCATCGTGCTCGTGCTGATCACGGCCGTGGGTGTGAGCCCGCTGCCGGCCGCTTACGTCCTGTCCGTGGGGGTTGTCGGCGTCTCGCTCGTTATCGCCGGGCCGCAACTGATCCTGGCCTGGGCCTTGCGCCCGTCCGACTTTGACTTTGACGGTCTGGAGGACGAGGACAGTGATGGCTGAGCCTGTGAATTTCCAGAACCGTGTGAAGACCTATCGCGTGGATCGCGGTCTTTCCCGACAGGAGCTCGCCACACGGGTGCAAGTCCATCCCCAAACGATCGGGGCGATCGAGCGGGGTCAGTTCAATCCCACCATCGAAGTGGCGTTGAGGCTGTCAGAAACGCTGGGCGTGGGGCTGGACGCTCTGTTTTCCCGACAGGGTTTCGGCCCCCTGCAAAGCTGATGTTCAGACAAAAGAAAACCGGCGAAGCACTTGCTTCGCCGGTTCTTTTTGGTTCGGGCTTGAGAAGCGTCTAGCGCTTGTCGATCGCCACGAAATCGCGCTGCGTCGCGCCGGTGAAGGCCTGACGCGGACGACCGATCTTCTGGCTCGGATCCTCGATCATTTCCGACCATTGCGCGATCCAGCCGACGGTGCGGGCCAGGGCGAACAGCACGGTGAACATCTCGGTCGGGAAGCCCATCGCCTTCAGGGTGATGCCCGAATAGAAGTCGATGTTCGGATAGAGCTTCTTCTCGACGAAGTACTCGTCCTCAAGCGCGATCTTCTCCAGCTCCATGGCGACAGCCAGCAGCGGATCATTGCGCACGCCCAGCTCGTCAAGCACGGCGTGGCAGGTCTCGCGCATCACCTTGGCGCGCGGGTCATAGTTCTTGTACACGCGGTGACCAAAGCCCATCAGACGGAACGGATCGTTCTTGTCTTTGGCTTTCGCGACATATTCGGGGATATTGTCCACCGAGCCGATCTCACGCAGCATGTTCAGAGCCGCTTCGTTCGCGCCGCCATGGGCCGGGCCCCACAGCGAGGCGATGCCGGCTGCGATGCAGGCGAACGGATTGGCGCCCGAAGAGCCGGCCAGACGCACGGTCGAGGTCGACGCGTTCTGTTCGTGGTCGGCGTGCAGGGTGAAGATCTTGTCCATGGCGCGGGCGAGGGTCGGGGACACCTCGTATTTTTCCGCCGGGACAGCAAAGCACATCTGCAGGAAGTTCGACGCATAGTCGAGATCGTTCTGCGGCGCCACGAAGGGCTGGCCGATGTGGTATTTGTAGGCGCGCGCCGCGATGGTCGGCATCTTGGCGATCATGCGGTGGGACGCGATCAGGCGGGCCTGCGGGTCATTGACGTCCGTGGAGTCATGATAGAAGGCCGACAGCGCGCCAACCGTTCCGACCATGATCGCCATCGGGTGGGCGTCACGGCGGAAGCCGCGGAAGAACTGGTCGAACTGGTCATGCAGCATGGTGTGGCGGCGGATCGTCCAGTCAAACTCTTCGAGTTCCTTGGCGTTCGGCAGCTCACCGTTTTGCAGCAGATAGGCCACTTCGATGAAGCTGGCGTTGTCGGCCAGCTGATCGATCGGATAACCGCGATACAGAAGCGTGCCTTCATCGCCATCGATATAGGTGATCTGGCTTTCGCATGACGCGGTGGAGGTGAAGCCGGGGTCAAAGGTGAAAACGCCCGCATTCTTGTACAGCGCGCGGATGTCGATCACGTCCGGACCCAGCGAGCCGCCATACACAGGCAGGTCATAGGTCTCGCCATTAATCGACAGTTGCGCGGAACCTTTCGGTTGAATCTTGTTTTCCATATCTCCAACCCCTTTTGTGTGGGTCATGACGGACGCGGCCTGAATAGGGGCGCGGCCTAGTCCATCACGTCATTGAGCCGATCCAGAACCTCATCGCGTCCCAGAACAGCCAGTACGAAACTCATGTCCGGCGCTGGCGCGCCGCCGGTGAGGGCCGCTCGAAGCGGTTGACCCACCTTGCCGAAGCCAACCTCCTCAGCCTCTGCGAAAGCGTTAAGCACATCGCCCAAAGCCGCCTCGGTCCAGTCCGGCGTATCCCTTAGCACGTCCGCAAGACGCGACAGCCGCGCCCGGGCGTCATCATTGATCGCCTTGGCGGACTTGCCCGTCAGTTCGATCGGGCGCGGACGAATAAGGAAATAGGTTTGATCCTCCAGCTCTGCGAGGGTCGCCGCGCGTTCTTTCAGCACTTTCATCGCTGAAGAAACCCAGACTTTCGCCTGATCATCAAGACGCAGATCGTCGCGGCCTTGAAGGCGGTCCCAGAGCAGATCCGTCAGACGCGCATCCTCGGCGCGTTTCATATGCCAGGCGTTCACGCTCGACATCTTGTCAAAATCGAGCCGCGCCGGGGCCTTGCCCAGACCCTTGAGGTCGAAGGCCGCGGCCATCTCGGCGTCGGTGAAATATTCCTGATCGCCCTTGGACCAGCCCAGCCGCAGCAGATAATTGCGCAGGCCTTCGGGCAGATAGCCCATATCGCGATAGGCTTCGACGCCCAGTGCGCCATGGCGCTTGGACAGCTTCTTGCCATCGGGCCCATGGATCAGCGGGATGTGGGCAAAGACCGGAATCTCCCATCCCATCGCCTGATAGATCTGGGTCTGACGACCCGCATTGGTCAGGTGATCATCGCCGCGGATGATGTGGGTGACGCCCATATCGTGGTCATCGACGACCACGGCGAGATTATAGGTCGGGTTGCCGTCACCGCGCAGCAGTACGAGATCGTCAAACTCCTTGGCGCCCCAGCGCACCTGACCCTGAACCGCATCCTCGATCACGGTGTCGGTATCGGCGGCGCGGAAGCGGACGACGAAAGGCGTATCGGCGGGCGCTTCAGAGGCGTCGCGATCCCGCCAGGGCGAGCGCAGGGCGCGGCCCTCGGCGAAGGCCTGTTCGCGCAGGGCCTCGGTTTCTTCCGGGGTGCAATAGCAGCGAAAGGCGGCGCCTTTTTCGATCAGGGCGTCCACGACGTCACGGTGACGGTCGGCGCGGGCGAATTGCGAGACCGCCTCGCCATCCCATTTCAGACCCAGCCAGCTCAGCCCGTCTAGAATCGCCTGAACGGTCTCGTCGGTCGAACGCGCGCGGTCGGTATCCTCGATACGAAGCTTGAATTCGCCGCCATTCGCCTGGGCGAACAGGGCGTTGAACAGCGCCGTACGCGCGCCGCCGATATGCAGATAGCCGGTCGGTGAGGGCGCGAAACGCGTGATGATTTTCATGGTGTCTTGCAATTGCGAATTCATGCTGCAGTGCGAAGGGAGGTGCTCTTTAGCACGCCAAACCGTCTCCGTCATAGCCTCCGCCTGATGTTCACGCCATGATGAAGGTGTGAAATCGCTAAAGTTTCCACTCCTGGGGGAATTCCCGGCCTTGCGTCGAGCCGTAGCGGCTGGACTGGGCGGGCCATTGGCGCTCACTTCACCTGATCCCTATCGTCTGATCCTGTGGGCTCCGGTCGCGCTGGCGATTGGAGCGGCCGCCTATTTCTCCTGGCCCTCCGAGCCTGGATTGGCGCCTGTTCATGCCGGACTGGGCCTGAGCCTGTCGGCGGCGGCGCTATGGGGCGCGCGCCGGGACGCAGTCACCCTTTATGCGATGGTGCTGATGTTGGGCCTGACTGCCGGTTTCGCTTTGGCGCGCGAGAGGGCCCACGCCTTGGGGGCGCCGAACCTTGAGGCCTTTCAGTCCGAGCGCAGCGCTCAGATCACAGGCTGGATCGAGCGGGTTGAGCGAATGGAGGGTCGTGCGCGTCTTGTGATCCGGGTTCATACGCTGGGACATGCCGATACGCCGCCTTACAGGGTCCGCATCCGCGCCGGACTGGACGGTTTCGAGCCTGGCGACGCGATTCAGGTGCGCGCCCGGCTCGCACGGCCGTCTGCACCTGTGGCGGCGGGCGGCTATGATCCGGCGCGTGCGGCCTGGTTCGATCAGATCGGTTTGACGGGCTACGCGATTTCAGATCTGGAGCGCGCCGTGATCGGGGCGTCTGCGCCTCCTGGCCTGATCCTGGCGCGTTTCCGGTGGCGCTTGTCCGAGCACTTGCAGTCCCGCACAGACCCGCGCACCGGTGCAGTCGCCGCCGCATTGCTGACTGGCGAGCGCGCCCGGGTCAGCCGCGAGGACGCCGAAGCGCTGCGCCTGTCAGGGCTCGGCCATATTCTCGCGATCTCCGGCCTTCACATGGCGCTGTTCGCGGGCGGAGCCTATTGGTTGATCCGTCTGGGGTTTGCTATGTGGGAGCCTTGGGCGCGCGCCCATGACCCGCGAAAACCCGCCGCCCTTGGCGCGCTGATCGCGGCGAGCCTCTATCTGGTCATCTCGGGCGCCGCGGTCTCTACGCAGCGCGCCTACATCATGGCGTTCGTGGTGTTGATGGGCGTCCTGTTTGACCGTCAGGCCTTCTCCATGCGCTCACTGGCGCTGGCGGCGATTCTGATCCTGCTCATCGCGCCAGAAAGCGTTATCGAGCCGGGCTTCCAGATGAGCTTCTCGGCTGTGGCGGCCCTGATCGCTAGCTTTGACGCCTATAAGCGCTGGCGGCCCGAAGGCGGCTTCTCGACTTCGCTTATCGGCAAGGTGAAGGATGCGCTCGCCGGGCTCAGCGCCACCTCCCTCATTGCCGGGGCGGCGACAGGCGCGTTCGCCGTTTTCCATTTCCAGCGCATGGCCGCCTATGGGCTCATCGCCAATCTGCTGGCCATGCCGGTTTTCACCTTCTGGGTCATGCCCGCTGGCGGCGCGGCGCTTGTCTTCTCGCCTCTGGGACTGGAGCGGCCCTTTCTCTGGCTCATGGATCAGGGGCTGAGGCGGGTGCTCGACATCGCCTACTGGGCGTCATCTCTGGACGGCGCCGTGGTGGGGGCGAACGCTGCGGACCCGGCGCTGGTGGCGCTCTACGGGCTGGGCTTTGCGTGTCTGGTGATCGGGCTCGGATGGATGCGGGTGACCGGAGGCGCGCTGATTGCGATCGCGATCGGCCTGTTCATGGTCCAGACCCCGCCCCAGATGATGATCACCGATGGCGGCGTGGTGCTGGCGCGTTTTGAAGGCGGGGGCGAGGAGTTCGCGGTCTCGGACCGAAGGCGCGGTCGCTTTGATGCGCGCGTCTTCCTGCAGCGCGCAGGCGTCAGCAGCACACCCGAACGCGCGGCGCTCCGCTGTGACACTCTGGGCTGTACCGGTCGAACGGCCGAGGGATTGCTGCTGGCTGTCACAGGATCTGCGGAATCACTGGAGTCGGATTGTGCCTACGCGGATCTGATCGTGTTTGACGGCGAGGTCTCCGCGTGGCGCAAGCGAAGATGCCGGGCGCTGGTGCTGGATGACGCCGCCCGCGCCGAATTGGGCGGAATGGAGTTCTGGGTTCAGGACGGGCAGGTCGTGCGCATGCGCAGCGCTCAGGCGATGCGGCGGGAACGCTTGTGGGGGAGAGGTTCTGAAACCTGATCGCTAGAGCGCTTGCAGGCCGCGTTGCTCCATGCGCCAGAGCAGGGCGTCAACCCGGTCCTGGCCAAAGAAGGGTTCGCCCTCAAAGACCATCAAAGGCACGCCCCAATGGCCGGCGGCGTCCTGGTTGGCTTCATTCTCGATGATCTGCCTGTCGATGCGGTCAGACTGCGCATCGGATTCGGCATTGAGCCAGTCCGCATCCAGTCCGGCCGTGCTGGCGGCGTCATCCAGGGCGCCGTCATCGGTCCAGGGGGTGTTGAACCCGGCGCTGGTTCCGCCCCAGATCCGGCGGCTGGCGGCGGCGATATAGGCGAGCCCATCGCCGGCTTCAGCGGCGAGAACGCCCAGACGATTGAGATAGGCGATACGCGGCTGATCGGCCGCGATCTTCAGGGTCGCGAGATCCTGAACAATGGGATCGGGTGAGGGCGCAGAGATGGGCAGCCCCAGACGCTCCGCCTCGCGCGCCACGTCGATGAGGACATAATGGATCCACCGCGGATCGCGCTCTTCAAAGAAGTGCGGACTCCTGACGGCCAACGGACGAACGATGCGGACATCCACCGTGAAGGCGTACCGCTCCCGCAGCTCAAGAAGTCGTTGCGCGGCGATATAGCTGTAGGGGCTTCGGAGTGCGAACCCGTCTGTTTGACGCATCAAGGCCGTTGACGTTTGCATGCTGACGGCCAGGAAATTCGGCACTGACTGGAATTTTTTTAAAGAAGTCCTAAGCCTTTCCATCATAAATGGTGCTCCAATCACAACTTCCTTCTGTGCTCGATTCCATGCGCTGTGTCGCGATCCCTGTGAACTCTAAGAGCATCGCAACGGATTGATCCCCTGCGGCCCGCATCTAATCTATAATCGAAACCTACCGATTCCCAAGCCGGGTAATTTCTTTAATTCTAGCATGGGTGTTGTTTTTTGATGCTTCGGAAATTCCCCCTGCCTTCACATTTGATTTTTATAAAAATAAAAAAAAGAAAAAATAAGTTTTAAATCAGATCCTACAGACCCCTCTTCAAAATTCGGCACGACCGACAAGATGACGGAATGCTAGTCGCGATCTCTATGAATTTTGCTTATATTTTTTTTCCATAAATTTCATTCAAATTAATAAATCGTTCATCTTCCTAACGCGCCCGAAAATTTCTAGAATATATTCATTATATTAATAGCAAAATTTAATTCTTAATAAAAAATCTAAATATCGCGGAATTTCAATATCTCGGGACTAGCCCAGAAATACAAAAATAATCGCATATCAAGAATTCCTAGACGATACAGAAAAAAATTTCAAAATTAACGACCTCCTGCCAATCACCAAGACCACAAATAACGTCTCCATTTCAATAAATTATATCAATTTCGAGCTATAGTAATCCAAAAATATTAAATACTCGTATCTCTATTTTTTATTTTAAATAATTCCCCCACTCCTAAATTACTCTATAATTCTACCCTGTCCCTCTCTTCTATTCTCTCTCAACCTATCTGAATTACAAAAGAAAAATAGAATTCTTTCCTCCGATTCCGGAATCATAATAGAAATGAAAAACTAGGCCACTAACTTTCCACGAACCAGACATAAACCAAACACAAACCGAATTCATTCGAACACCAACCCAAATAAGAACCAAACACCAACCGGACACGAACCAAACACGTTTCGGACACGCACCAAACGCGAAACCGACACGAACCCAAACATTAACCAGACACAAACCGGACACGAAGAGGACACCAACCCGATCGCGAACTAAACACGAGCCCAGACGCTAACCCAGACACGAACCCAGACACGAACCTGACACGAACCGGACACGAACCCGTACACGTCAGACCGGAACCGGACACGAACCCTGACATGCGACTGATTGGTTTAATTCAGCAAGCACAGCACTACAACATCCGCCAAGAATTTGTAGAATATTTTACCGCGAGAATGTCTGCCCAAAGCTAATTACGAAAATTTGCAAGATTTAATACTGCGAGACTTCCTAAAGCTACCAAAATCTTCAAGATTTTGGTACCAGGAAAAAGCCCTGGCGACACTAAAATTTCCAAGATTTTAGTCACGCTAGACAAACATGCTAAAGGCTTTCACGAAGGCACACGGAGAAGGACCAACATACAAGGGAGCAAAGCGCACAGAACCACGGATGCAAGCAGCACGACACCGATTAATTAGAGAATTCCAAGAACTTCAATAATCATACCATATGACAGTATCCCATTCCATATCCTTCTCCATGATAAGAGTTCATATAAGCATCCTTGTGCAATTTCACTATTTAGGATGGTCTGCCTCGAACATTTGACGATATGAAGCTGAGTAAGCTTGTGCCCTCTTTTCGAGTATTTGCTACCAAGATTTAAACCTCACCTGACACCCTTCAGGCTGTCGGACTGCAGAAATCTTTTTCCGCACGAAGAAGCTTCGCGCATGAAGCGAAGGCCGAAGACCTGTCCGACACCGAAGTAAAACTTCTAGCAACAGCTGTGATTGGAGCAGGCAGTGTCGACCAGGCTCAGTTTCAACAACTTTTCTCGCGAACGAAGACCTGTGCACTCCGGGATCTGTCGCCGATGGACCTGTGATAGCTTGTGATCTACATGCATAGACGGGAGTATCAGCACGACAGCTAAACAAGCTTCTTTCAGACCGTTTCAGCTGCTCGAACGTGCTCTTCATGATGTTGCGATACCACTTCCACGTGCCCCTCGTCGAGGAGCATGGCCTCATGTCTTGGCGCCTGCAGTGCTTTGATGCGCCGTCGACACACGAGGCGGCGGGCCTGCTGTCTAGTGCATGGGAAAATGCAGGCGCAGGAGCACATTCCAAGAAACCCTTCAATTGCACCGATCAGCCAATGGGGCCCTGGAAACCAAGAGACCATGTAATCCAGAAAGCTGCCGTCTGCCTTCGGAGTCGCGGGGTGTGGTGGGGAAGGTGCTGGTCCTTGAGTTGTTGGCTGCGTTGCTGGCGGCCAACACTTTCGCCCGGTCTTGGAGTAGTAGCCTCCATTTTGACACACGCACTGGTTCTGCTGCCAAATGCAACCGCGATCTTTGCCATACCACTGACAATTCGCTTCGTCATATGGCAAGCCTCGGTTAGACACACAGGCACTGCCGTTTGAGTCCTGCAAGACCACCACTGGTGCCGGTGATGTGGCAGTCGTTGTAGTTTGAGTTGTCACCGGGTGTTGATGCACACATCGGCGCCCAGTCTTGGAGTAGTAACCTCCACTTTGACAGACGCACTGGTTGTGCTGCCAGGTGCAACCGCGATCTTTGCCATACCACTGGCAATTCGCTTCGTCATAGGGCAGGCCTCGGTTAGACACACATGCACTGCCGTTTGAGTCCTGCAAGACCACCACTGGCGCCGGTGTTGCGGTACTTTGGGTTGTCTGTGGATTTGATGATGTCACGCATCGGCGCCCCGTCTTGGAATAATATCCACCTTCTCGACATACACATTGGCCGTGTTGCCATATGCAACCCCTAACTTTGCTGTACATGTGGCAATTCTCCTCACTGTATGGCCGACCATGATTGCTCACGCATGTACTTTGATTCGCCGCAAGGCCCAAAGCGCATGCAAGACCACCGAATATGATTACATGAAAAATCATCGGCGCCATCAGCACAGCACGGCAACCTCTCGCCAGCACGCAGCACTTGAGCCTTGATTGACGCTGCCATTCCGACGCCTTACTGCCCCCTCAGCTCCCCTAAGCCTGAAACACGAGTATCCTGGATGGCTCACAAAGCCAAAGGTGACGTTGCAATCACATCGACTCCCTGGCCTCCCTCGTCTGCGAGATCCTGCCGGCAAGAAGGGCACGACTGCAGCGACAACAGTTGGTTGCAGCAACAGAAGCAGCATCAGCTGTACCAGCAATATCTGTCGCGTCACCACCAGCAGCAGCAAGAACAGCAGAAAGTTAAGCAGTCCCAGCCAACATTGCCATCAGCGTCCAAGGAGCAAAGATGATGCAGCTCTTGCCAACACTTGCCATCAGCTGAATGAACTCATCTCTTTTCTGTGATATCAGCATACGTCCTCATTGAAACCGTTGGAAATCATAACTTCGTCATCAGCATCGTCAAAGCCAGCACCATCACCACGATTATGATGATCATGATGGTGATGAAAGGGATTCATGATGCAGGCAGTATAACCATCGTAATAGTAGCATTTTTGATGGCGGTGGCCATCATGGTCAGCTAGGCCGTGATCATCGTCAGCTTTCGGCATCATCATCATCATCACTACTAGCACTGCCGACATCACCAAGACCACAATCACTGGCAGTATCCCGACTGTCGTCTCGGTTCTGCTGAGCATCCTCGTCTTCCTCATCAGCAACAGTATCTTGTCTTCTATCATCATCCCGCGGCGGTCCTTCGACTTCAGCACCGTGTGCTCTGCATGCAAGGGCCAAAGACCTGCAAGGCTTGAGGCGGTGGGCGGCACTAAAGCCTGCCACAGCCACCAGCTGGTAGATATCTTGTGGGAATTCTTGCTTCAAACGAGGTTAGCGTGGATGTCGCCTGCCCCCTGCACTCACGGAGGAAGCGTCCGACCTACGCGGCAAATATACATGCTTTTCGCCCCGACGCTCAACGCAGCAGTCTTTGGCCATAACCGATGCAAGAGGTCAAGCTTCGGCATAGCTATACCAAGCATGAGACACGAAGGGACAACCCTCATTCGGGCGATCTTATAAAATTCTTGAATCGATGAAGCTGCTGCTTCGGCGGCACCCTGTGCCTTCCGTGAATGAGCAGTTTCGAGGGCACTGCGAAACTTCTCTCAGATATCCAGAACCTCACAGTGGCAGAATACAATTAAATTTGTTTGGCCGATGCTGTGAGGCTCCAGTAGCACCTGTCTCTACCACTGTAGATTCGTGCAGTTGTCAAGAGCCACTCCGTTGGCCGGAGCGCAGCAGAGGGCTCCCAGGGCCCTCATGACCGTCGTGGAGGAGATGCTTGGGCTTGCACAGGGTATGCCGGCGGTGACAGCACCAAAGACCCTGCAGCTAGCCCAGGTAACGTTCTTCCGGAGCTTGTAGTGGGTGAGGCGGCTGGGGAGGCACGGGCAGCAACAGCACTTGCCGCGGTCGTAGTCGTGGCGGTTGGGTATCTCGGGCCATCCACACGGACCCGCTCGCCCCTTGCATTTACGACATAATGGTAGGGAGCGGTGTAGAGCTGGTTCATGGGTCGCAGGCCTCCTGACAGTGCCGGCGCGGCCATCGGCAAGCCCACAGGAATCGTGCGCGCTGCGCTGGTTATCAGCCGATCCGGGGGAGAGCTCTGCATGCTCTGTTCGCCGTTCGCTCCTCCTGCTCCGTTGATGGTTGCTCCTTTCGTCGCTTCTACCACAGTGACGGCTGCCGGCTCGTCACGTGCGGCCTGATCTCGCCAACTGTCCCGCTTTCGATGCCTTGCCTCCTGTGCAACACGCACAGGAAGCACAAAAAACGGAAAGCATGCAGCAGCGGTCAAGTGTATTTGGAGGTTCGTAAACATTTGGAGGTAGAGTCGTGTGTATATACAGCGGCGATGCTCAACGTACTTGCACCACACGTCTACTAGTCTACTACCCGTTACACGACACCCCCTACTGCGAAGGCTCTTTTCCTTGATCCTTGAACCTGTGAACCTGAAGCGCAGAAGCCTTGAACCCCGGCTGAAGCAATCCGGACTCCCGTCCTTGCCCTTTTCAAAGAAGCCTTGGTTCGACCAGCTCGGCCAGCAGGCGACCTAAATCCGAAGATCGACAGTGTGAGGTCGTTTAGGGATTCCTTTGAACTCTTCTTCCCATTGTCACTGTCATAGCAGCATCTCATGTATATGAACGTTGCACAACGGAAAGGAACTGCAGCAACCTGAACGGCGACGATGAAGATTCCCAAACCGTGAGGATTATATTGGTAGAAGCCATGGCATTGAAACATTAGCCTATCAGCATGCTGCCATAAGCATCATCGTCATCACTATGGTGTCAAGACTTCTTCTTTCTTCCAAAGCTGTTGTAGCTTGCTATTGTTCTCATGTTGTCCGCAGTGAAAGGAAACCTGTCCCAGGCACCGTCTCATCGTGCACTTCGTAGCCGGCCTCTTGCGGACAAAGACGATGTTTCAGCACCTGGCACCCTACACTCGAAGCCCCATCGGTCTGGGTTGGGGTGCTAGATAATGCGGGAATCTAGTCTGTTGGTGTAGTGCTCTCCGGCAGAGTAGGGTCACATCCTTGATGGAGGAACCTAGTGCAGGAAGGACGCTCATCTTGTGTCAACACAAAACCACCTAGGATGGCATGGTAATTAAGGGCATCTTAAACTGCACCGAAGTCTAGCATCCCCTCTGCAGTATGCTGAACCCAGGAGGATTCCTTCTACAGTAGGAGCCCCATTTCTGTGAAGCGTTGGGCTGGATTTGGAGTTTCTTGCGGAATGTTCGAGCTTGGCCCTTAGGGTCTTGGGCTTCGACTACCTGCATCGAAGTGGCGTAGATTGGATTCACGTTCCACCAGGATATGCCCGTATCTTCCATGATCTTGCCATAGCCAGGATCTGTGCCGTCCATGCTATCCAGCGCCTTTCCTGCTTTGCTGAAGGACCACCTCATCGGTTCAGACTTCGAGCTTACCAAGATCAAGTTTACCCACCTGCATCATGTTTGAATCTGGACAACTGAGGCGGCGGCTCAATGTAGAGGATCCCGGCCAAGTAGATGAAGAAAGTTAGGAAGAAGATCAGCACGAAGATCAGGATGGCAAAGGGCCATTCCGTGATCTCTTGTAACCGATATGCCCACACCGCAAAGGAAGCAGCGCACTGGGACAACACGAAGCCCCACACGATGATGAACGAGAAGTAGGTGCCGTCTGAATCGAATTGGGACTTTCCATACCTGACCCAGCCCCACGGGGTTTACAACCACATGCGCAGCTGCTACACCCAGGCACAGCAGGAAAGGTAATGATATTGCAGCAAGGTGTGTAAGTGTAATCCTCACTTGGTGATAGTTGGAGCCGCAGGCACAGCCACAGCATGACATAGCGCTGCCAGAGGAAGAATAACAGGCTGAAGCACAGCAACGCCTGCCAGACTTTCATACCTTGCTTCTGACGCGCTACCAAGCAAGTCGTGTTCAAGCTTTGACAACATCGCCAAGTGTCAAGCCTAAAACTCCAAAATGCATATAGCCAGAGAGACAAGATACTGTGATCGACGAAGTAGACAGATGTGAGAGCAATGGCCGGGAATAGAATCACATAGGTATACTCCATCCACAGCAGCAAAGGCACAAGCACCTGTGCCTTTTCGGCTTCTCCTCAGTTGTCTTCCCGGGCCGAACTGACGAACATTCGAGAACAGGGGACGGCAGAGTCGGCTCTCCTACTGCTACTGCTACTACAACTACAACACTACAAGAATACAGCTGCAACACCAACACCACCAACAACGACGACGACAACAACAACAACAACAACTGCTACTACGCACCCGAACAGAAGACTCACAATCATAGCGCAATCATATCACAAGAAGCATTATTCACGTTGACGCCCACTATCATGCAGCAACGCAATCCGACTAAGCGTTCCACATACTGTAATGCAACACAATGTGTGTGTGTGTGTGTGCGTTGATGCTTCACGAGAGAAACGACTGATCTCAATGACCGTCCAAGTAGTATAATTACGTACCTGTCTGCCTGTCATGCCGACAGCATGCGGGCAGTTGTGGCCTGCCCGCGAAAATTCTGTGTATGTTGTCGATCTAACTCCATACTCCTTTGCTCAACCACGTTTGGATATGTAAACATACATATATATATATACATATATCTTTATGTATCGGCTTTTCACAATCTCCAGTAGGACATTTACCTTGGCAAGGCACTGTGCGAAAGCACCGACGGGCTTCTAGTCTTCGGAAGCATGACCCGCAACAGTCTCTGGATTCGCGAAGTGGGCGTTCCGCCAATGTTTGAGATGAACACCGCACGCAACGCCAACCAAAAGAACAGCACGGGCCTGAGTATCCAGGCTGGAGGGCGAACAGACTGCCAACACCGCCACAAAGTGATACACCGTGCAGCTGATCCGAGCACCTGGCGCAAGGACATTGCCCACCTCGCCCAGAACGTAGAGCCTCGTGCGCACACGAAAAACCGAACAAGCGAGGGAGACTTCAACTTCAGGCTGGGCCCCGCGGCATGATCGTCTGCTCGGTGAAAACGGAGAGCAGGGCATCGTAGGCTCGAATCTCTGCCAAGGCTGCGAGCAGCAAACCTCGTCGCCATTCCCACCATGCTGCAGAGTACGCTTCTTCTGGTGGCAGGAATGTTGGGCGCATCCCAACTTTATCACATTCTTGGTACACGATGTAGAGCAAAGTGATTACCTTGGACACTTCAGCATGAGAGTGTGAAGTGCAAAGTCTGTACTTGCTTCGCAGGTTGCCAAGCTGAGCACAGCACCATCAGAAGAGTGTTCCAGATGAAAGTGATCTCGTCGACTTTGGAAATGCGAATGAAGTCGCAAGCTTCAACATCAAAAGCCACTGCCGTCTGTATGGCGAAGTTGACAAGCAGCACTCCTCGGGTGCTCTGCGAAAAAAGCT